TAACTTTAAACTAGTCTTAACTTTAAAGAAATACACTCTATACATTGATAATGTGGTAAATGACTATTCTAGCTGCAAATGTCTGGTTTTTGGTTCAATATCCACATAGGTGTACAGAGGCCCATTTCTAGCAACTATCACTCCAGTGTTCTAATGGTACAATGTGTTTGCGCATTGGCTCCAAAGGCTAATTGATGATTAGAAAACCCTTGTGCAATCATGTTCACACATCTGAAAACAGTTTAGCTCAATACAGAAGCTACAAAACTGACCTTCCTTTAAGCAAATTGAGTTTCTGGAGCATCACATTTGTGGGGTCAATTAAACACTCAAAATGGCCAGAAAAAGAGAACTTTCATCTGAAACTCGACAGTCTATTCTTGTTCTTAGAAATGAAGGCTATTCCATGAGAGAAATTGCTACGAAATTGAAGATTTCCTACAACGGTGTGACTCTCTAAAATGTGATTAAATATATCTTGAACTGTTATTTTTTCCTAGGTATAATATAAAAATATAAAACATCATTAAGGGTAGTCAAAATTTAGAAAATAATGTTTGTCTATTCTATTAAAATTTCTGTATCTCTAGAATGGATTTGTATTGTTAGTTGTCTTCTCAATTCAGAGGGCCCCATGCCTGTGTTCCCTTACAAATGCTTATGAGCTAAATCAGCTGTGTTGACATGGTCTGCTTGTGGTTTCCGCCTGTTAGAAGGGAATGTTTCCTGGCGTTTAGGGCTGCAACAAAAAATTATTTTGCTAATCGATTAATTAATGTGTGGATTATTTTTTTTCTCGATGAATTAATTAATAGTCGGATAGAAAATGTGAGGAGCTCAGGATGTTAGATCTAGAATTCAAGCAGACAGATTTGAAACAAACTTTTATTTAAACAAAGGTGCGGCTGCTCGTCAGTTGGGTTGGGCTCACTGGATTCTCTGTATATACTGAGACTCAGGTCAGTGACTTCAGAGCTCAAACGTTCAGTCCGAGCCCAGAAGAAGAAGTGAAGTCCAGAGCAGTGTAACTGAGCTGATTCCAGGGATCCACCAGAAAAGAGGAACAGCGACCAGCAGCAGCCAAAACACACAGAGGAACTGAAGGATCCAGAGGGACAAATCCAAGCCAAGGTCAGAAGACTGGTCCAAGAACGATAACAGGCGGAATCTAGGTAACAGTCTGAAAACAGGACAGGCAAGGGAGATGATTGTCGATTCCCAAAGTAACAAGAACAAAATGAATCCCTTAAATACCTTGGTTCAACTGTGAAGCCCTTTACAAACAGGGACAGAGAGCACACTGGACTTCTAAAGGAAGATTACGTCCTTCAGCATTTGCAGCAATATACTACATATCCTCTATCACTCTGTTGTGGAGAGTTTGATCTCTTCCTCTCTCATCTGCTGAGGTAACAGCATCACAGCAAATTAATTAAAAAAGCCCAACAAGCTGGTAAAGAAGACCAGCTCTGTTCTAGGAACTGTTATAGAAACTGTGGAGATGATTTCACAAATCTTCATGAAGTGAAGTGAAGAGAGTCATGGACAGAATTGAGCATCATCTGCATCAAACTGTAAAAGAACAACAACAAAGTGTCTTCAGTCAGAGGCCAGTGCAAGACCAAAGATTCTTGCTGCCTACAGCTATCACCAGCTGTTTAAAAAAAAACAAAAAACATGTGACTTTTACAACATTTCTGCTCTCAATATCTCTTTGGGATTAATAAAGTAGTTTTTAATTGAATTGAAAACAAAAAGCCCCTAAAATATTTTTTTTAGAATTGAGAAAAGTGTTATATGTTAGAAAAGTGATGTGTGGGCAGTGAATATTAAGATAAATCAATGACAGCGGCACCAAACAGCATTGTTTTAAAATATACAATACCAGAGCTGGAAGTACTGTATTTGCGCTCCGGCAAACAGGTTCTTCCAGAAGCGTATGTCTTTTCTGTTACGTGGTGTGGAGATCTCAGCTGAAAAGATAGAAAAATTTATTTAAATTGGAGCTTGGAGAGTTCTGCTCCATTCCCCAAATGGTTTCAATGGAATCAGAACCAGATTAAAAATGTGCAAAAAGGAGTGTGTTACACATTTTCAATCTGGCTGAACAGGCTATTGGATTAGGTTGCATGGTAGTTAAATAGATTCATGTAAAGTAAGAGTAAAAACGAACCATTTTTTTTAAAACAAAGGAAATATAGTGCTGATTATTAATATTATCATTCGATCAAAAAGGACTATAGATTTTAATAAATTATAACTTGGAGTGATTTTTACAAAAGTATTTACACAAAAAACAAGAATGTATCAAAATTTATATCATTATTCAAAGTCTTATTATGAGACTGATGTTTATTCTAAAGTTGGAGGTGTTCATTATGATTTTGTAATCTCTGGTTCATGGTGCATCTTTGGAGCATACATAAACTTGACATTTAGGGGGTTAATTCCCTAAGGCCTTTCATTTAGGGAATATAGGCACACATTTATTTATCTACTGCATTATTGCTTTAACATGAGTGAGGTAACTACTTCCAAAACTGTCCTGCATTTTGCATTAACACATCTGGCTGACAGCAACTTAAACCATTAACTTGCCCACATCTGGCATGCCACATATGAACTGTACCATCACTGCCAGAATTGGTCCATTTCTGGCTGACATCCCATTAACCATGACAGACGTTGACTGATATGCCAGCTTGATGCCAGATCTGGGCCAGGTTGGTCTGCTATGTGGATAGGATCTCGTTTTAAATTTCTTATATTTGGGGAAGCTGTTGGTCTTGAAGATGATAACAGAGAAGACGTGAAAGGGTACGAGGAGGACAGGGGAATCTGATCTGACTCACAGGAGGTGAAATGATGACATCAGGCTGACCATAGAAGAAGTGGCAGCATCAGGCTGACCTTTCGGGGAGGTCGTGGCAATCCTCTGGCGGCGCCACCTACAGTCGGAGGAAGAAGATTGCAGTGGAGGATCAGCAGCTGGAGAAGGAGGAGGAAGAGTGCAGGGGTTTTCCCTTCCAGCTATCATAAAATCTCTCTGCAGTACTTTGAATGACAACCAAAGAAAACAAAGCTATCTCCTGTACAATGTAGATTAGGTGGTGATATCTTCTATTGCCTTTTAGCAGCCGATAGCGACTGTGTGGGGAGATGGCAACACTGATTACAGCATCATATCAAACACCATCAGCAACATCAGCACCACAACATGCACCAAAATCACAAGTTACTGATCCACTTTAAAAACTAAGCTTAATTCGAATCAAAATCAATTTAACTATAGGAAAAGGTCAAACCCCCGTTTAGATATATGCTACCATGAAACCAATATTTTATGATCCTATCAAAACAAAAAGTGTGGGATGATAATATGAAAAAAATTTAAAACTATTGTTCCCAAGGGATTGAAGAATTCTGGATATTTGAAAATAAACATTATTAAATCTTTTCCTTTTTGGGGGGTAATTGTTCCTTATCTAAGGAAAGCCAGCTCCATCAGCTGGCTTTCCTTAGATAAAATATAAGCTGCATATGATCAGCCATAAGAAAACTACTCAAAGTTAGAGAAGGTACAACCTGAAGCCATTCTAATGGAATGATAACCACTAATAACAGCTTTTAAAAGTTGATCGCATCCGAAATGGTTGACACAATAACTAAGAATGACCTTTGGTTAGAGTCATAATGTGTATTCCTGACTCTTAGGTAATATCAAATACATTAAATAATTTAAATAAATGTTTAAATGCAGTGCAATGACAGAAAACCGAACAATAAAAAAACAACTATAGAGCCAACTGTTAATGTTAAAAGTGTGTTTTCATTGTGAATTGGATTTTATATGGGGAAACTGTTGAGGTACGATATGGCCAAGCAAAGATTCAGTTTGACTCACTTTTTCCGTTCTGATTCACACATCTTGTTTGCGGGTCTTCATAGATGCTATATTCAGTATTAATAGAACAATCGAAAGTCCCCATGCCCTCCCCCCCATTTTCTTTTCTGGTAATGACCCCTTTAAAAAAAGAGAGAGCCTAGTACCCGTGGTCATATGGGACATTTTGGAGACTTATAGATACTTGTAGGGACCAGTGACTGCTTCCCATGAGGAGAACTTCTCTTTCTGGGGTGGGGGTTAAGTTTAGGACTATGGTTTGAATTGAGTTTAGGTTTAGGGTTAGGTATGTGTTGGTAATGGTTAGGCTAAAAGTATGGGTTAGGCCATACAAATCATTGAATGTCCCCACAAGGATAGTGTGACACAACATGTGTATGTTTGTGTGGGTGGTTGTGGGTGTGGCCGTTGGGGTGGTTGGAGGCCAAACAGGGCAAAGATAGCTTGGTAAAATCTATAGAAGCGTTTTATGTTGGTATCAAGCCTCATGATATTTAAATATGTTTTAGACACAGCATAGTGTTCCACATGACTTTCTGTTTTGATGCAGAATAGTTTGCAAAACTGTGAAACCTTAAATTAGTTCAAATGCATTCTAGAAATAAACATATCTGGGCCAATGCTGTTTGTCTGACATTTACTAAAATTACATTTACACATCTATTCTTTCTAAGTGAGAATGTCAGATGTTACAACTGGTTCTTACTATCTGCAATGTTAAAAAAAAAAACTACTATTACTGACATAAATAGTTTTGTGTTTAAAGGGAACAAGCTATTTCAAAGTAAGAGGGGTTTTCAAATTAGAAGTACAGTATATCAAAATTTTCACAGTGCATGTGGTGGAAAGAGGTGATTATTTGTTTAGATATGTATTGCTAGCAGTACTACGGCTAATATATGTGTAGTGTGGCCACAGTAGTGGTATGCAGACGATGTCACTTCAGTGACGTGTGAAAGGTCAGCTCATTGTTTCCCCTTCCCACCATGCGGCTGCCGTGACGATCCCCTCTTGTGGCGGGGTATGGTTGAGGTGGGAGGGAGAGGGGTAGTATAAGACGAGCTCAGATCAAAACTGAGGTTTCAGAGAGTGAAAGAACTCTGCAGCTTGAAAGACATTCACCACGTGTTTGCTGTTTGAGTAAGACTTGTTGAAATCTTCTCACTTGTATACATTTCAACAAACAGGGGGATCATTTACAAAGAAACGGTGCTCACTGAAATTCGACGGATAACCACTTAGGATCAAAGTATTCTGCTCAAAATGGAGTTCAGCCTGATTTTATTCTCTATTCTTTCTTTCACAACATGGATGAACTTGGTACAAGCAAGTAAGTACAAAAAAATACTAATAGAAAAATGCTAATCAATTGACTAGCCTGAATACCAATGCTTATTAATCTGTCTCTGTTATCTTTTCAGTGACGGGACCTGTAAATGCATGTCCGTGTTTTTACTTCTCTAAACATAAAGTCCCTGCTTTTCAAATTAAAAGGCACTTTGAACAGAAGGAAGGCATCTGTACTATTGAAGCAATTGGGTAAGTAATCAACATTTTAACACTGTCTTAAACATAGCAATGATTCCTGATCTCATGGAAATATCTCTTTCCATTGGGGCAAAAAAGAAAACAAATTATTTTTGTGTTTAAGAAAGTTTTGATTTTAGCTCTTCAGTTTGATTTAATGCACTACAGTATTTTTTATTTGATCTTCCAAATTCTTAAAGTCCTTGCAACATTACAAAAAACACAACTATAGCAGCATGGGCTATCAGATATGTTACCAGGGGAGAGAGAAGCATTTTTTTCACCCAAAATGATGAACACTGCATTAAAAAAGATATATATATATATAGATCTATTTAAAACTAGATTATATTGATTTTAACACCTAACAATCATTTCAGGTTTTGGTTAACGAATGGAAAGTTGATATGCTCGAAACCTGATAACAAGTGGGCAATAAATGTGCTGAAGAAAAGACAGCAGAAAACGACAGTAACACCAAGATCAAAAACGCCAGCATCACCAACTTCAATACTGTCAACACCTACATCAGCCCCAGAAACTGAGCCATCATCCACACCAACAGACGCTCTATTAGTGACAGCAACAGAACTATCAAGGCAAACATTATTCCCAGGATCAGAACCAACATCAACACCAAAGACAACAGCACCAAGATCACAAACACCATCAACACCAACATCAGCACAGTCATCAACAAGAGTAAGATCATCATCATCATCATCGTCATCATCATCCTCATCCTCATCATCATCATCATCATCATCATCATCATCATCATTCCCAGGATCTGAACAAACATCTACACCAAAGACAACAGCACCAAGATCACAACCACCGTCAACAACATCAGCAGAGTCATCAACAATAGTAACATCAACAACATCAGCAGAGTCATCAACAAGAGTAAGATTAAGCTCATCGTCGTCATCATCATCATCATCATCATCATCATCATCATCATCATCATCATCATCATCATCATCATCATTCCCAGGCTCAGAACATACATCAACAACATCAACATCAAAGACAACAGTACCAAGATCACAACCACCGTCAACACCAACTTCAACACTGTCATCAACAATAACATTGAGCTCATCATCATCATTCCCAGGATCTGAATCAACAGCAACATTAGCACCATCAACATTAACATTCTCAACACCAACCTCAGCACCGTCAACAACTTTAACAGCAATATTACCATTAACATCAAGACCAAACAACCTTGCTACTGTGCCTAGTACAAGGACAGTAAGTGATCGTATACGAGCAACGTTCATGGCCAGACGAAAAGCTTTCACACGAAGACGTTTTACAACAAGGAGGCGACCAAAAAAGAATCTGAAGGCATGGCAGAAAAAGTGTTCAAAGAAATCGCTGTAAATGCTGTCAGCCAAGTTTGTGCTACAAAATATCAAATGCAATACTAAAATCCGGAGGCTTTCAATACTATGCAGCTCATAAAACTTTAGATAAACTGAGTATAAAGGGTTCTAACACTTGCAATTTTATGTTTCCTTCCCTTTTTCTATATCATTTTTTTTTTTTGCAGCTTTTTCACAGCAAGTATCTTAAACATAAACATTGTATTGTTACCCCTCCAGGTGTCCTGCGTGGGTAGATAATCAAAGCTATAGCACAACAAAATAATTGCAAAGCTTTATATCTGCACAACAATCCTGTAAAAAGTTATAAAATCATATTGTTTTTTTATAAATCTGTATGTAAAATGAATATATGTACTTTCTATGTATTTTTAACTTACTATTAAATCATAATTTAAAGTACTCGTTTTGCTGTAAATCATTTGCACTCTTAATAGGAATTAACTTATCATAATGTCTTAGAATAGTTTTTTAACTAAACATGTTTATTTGTTGATTTGTACAGTTCAGACAGGGTCTTAGCATGCTTGCACACACAGGAAGGAAACCAGCTGAGATATAGAGCTGATAATAGAGACACCGGTAGCGCTGTAGATAAATGTCAACGTCAGAAATGCAGATTTTGTGAAGAGTTAAGGTCAGTGGAACTTTATGTTAATCGACTATGGTTAGAAAGGAATGTCTAAAATAACTAAATTATAATAGCAGTTTGAGTGGTTGGTATGTTCTGTCACTTCTCTTCATACATTAGGAGCGATAGCTTTTCATATTTATCAGGACCATGACACAATAGAGTTTTCTGATCTGGTTATAGAGGAGATATGATCAGCTAATGCAAAAGTGCAAAAATTAGACCTGGTGTTCCCCCAAAAAATATAGTTTGTTGGTTTTTGCAAGGTAAAATAAATAAAATAACTGTGACATATGTTAGAAAAGGCAGCATCAACACCTGGTAGCAGTTCATGATGTTTTAGATTTACCTATAAAAAGAATGGATCTGAGACAGATATGCAGCCATAGGGATACTTAAAATTCCTGGTTTATTCGAATTATTTTACGACTTCAGGCAAAGAACATTTTCACCTCCGAGTAAAACTGAAAATGTATCACGCTTCCATCAACCAAGGAAAAATAATTAGGAATTAGTTATGTTATGCTAAGTGTGTTGTATATTTCAAAAAATCTCTCAGATAACAAATTACTCAACAATGGGATTGGAGGAGGATGGATGTGTTAGAAAGACATAGTAAAGGAATATGAGTAGGACGAAAAGGGGTCAAAGGGATGGTTTAGGACAAAGAGGATTTGAAAGGAAAAATAAAGATAATGAATTGGTTGAGAAGAATTGGGATCAAAAAAGGAGGAGAGAAAAGACAGATGACATGAAGATTGAAGAGTATTAGGGGCAGCTATTAGGAAGGAAACCAGTTTAAAAACGTAACATTAACAATGGGTGTGATGAAGAGGGGGGGAAACAGGAACAGGTTGATGGAAAGAGGTAATAAAGAGGAATGGTTTGAAAGAGTTAGTTGCAAAGGCCTTGAGTGAGGAGGATGAAGGGAATGGGAGCATTTTGGAAAAAAGGATAAACGATGTAGGAAATTCATAAGTTGTGAGAAAAATCAATAGAAATAAGTTAGAATAGAATAGAATAGAAAATCCCTTTATGTCCCAAAATTCTGGTGTTTACAGCAGCAAAGAGATTATAGAAAACATTGTCAGACAAATGTGTATAATTGTGGGAAAGTTGAAAAATAAACAAAAAATACTGTACTGTGTTTTAACAATATAAATACTCTACACCTGGAGAATAAATAACCAATATTTTTACAGTAATGGACATTTGAAAATAGCAGCAACATTACAAATGTGCAAAATGACAGCAGCATGTTATGTAACTGACTAAAATAGAAGAGTGTAACAACTTATTGAGGTTGTTAGGAACAGTGGTGAGAAGTCTTACAGCTGCAGCGAGGAAGGATCTGTGATAACGCTCCCTGGTACATTTAGGGTGCAGCAGTCTGTCACTGAAGAGGCTCTTCAGCTCTGCAACAGCTTCATGCATGGGGTTGGAGACATTTTCCAACAGAGATGTTAATTTGGTTAGGATCCTTTTGTTTTATTTAGTAAGGATCCTTTTGTTTATTGTTAAATTATTAACAGTCAATGAGGGTGACATTGCAACATGTGAAAATTTTGTGCACAAGTCTATTCACACACATTCATTTAATTTATGGAGCGCTTTTTAAAGCCAAGTATTTATGTTGAATAATAATACACTAATGATATTAAATAATACTTTAAATAATAGTTATACTTTTGATAATGTAGCTCATCAACTGTGTGTGTTTTCTGAGCTCCTCAGGCTGGACTGGTCCAAACCAATTTCTTTATAATTGCCTTTACAACATGGCTAATGTACAGCGATTGTTTCCACTTTCAGCTGAGCTTTTAGCAAATAAACCTTTGATTGAAGCATAGAGCAAATGTTCTTTTTTAAAGAGAATAGATGTCTTTTTTTCTTTCCAGCTTATCATGAGGTTGTCATTGCACTGTTACAAGTACAGAGCGATGAAATGAACTCTGGGCTGCCATTGTGCGGCACCCGGGGAGCAGTGTGGGGGTAAGGGGTCTTTGCTCAGGGACCCAGAGTGGCAGTCTGTGGGATTGGGGCTCGAACTCAGAACCTCAGTATACCAAGCCCTAACCACTAGGCTGCCACTCCCTCCTATAGATGTCATTGCAGCTTTTTGTAGTGAGAGACAAAGAACTCATGATTGTTGTCGATAAAATCTCCAAATGAATATATTTATAGACAACGAAAAAAAAAAACTGGTGCATTTTTCTGCTGTCTTCCCTCAAAAATCAAATGGTTTCCACACCCATGAGATCTCCTTGTGATTTTGAGTCTTTGCAGGATGTCCTTTAATAGCAGCATAGACATTTCATTCACAAAGGCTATAAATAAAGCAAGTAAAGAATTATGGATAATCCTCATTTTACCATGCCTGACTATTTGACATTTGTTAAATGCAGAAATAGAACTTGTTAAAATAGGGTAATTCTGGACTAGCACCCTAAAGAACAGTTGGCTAAGCCACTGCTGGATAGATTTGATCTAAAAAACAAACAAAAACAAAGCTTTCTTTAAACCCATGCTTTGCAATTAAATGTTTCTTTGAATAAACGGTTAATTAAATAAACTGAAGTAAAAATTTGATTTGTAAGACAAACTTCTATGAGCAGTGCATTAAAATGAACAATTTAAAGTTTTCAGATGATAAAATTTATATAATAGAATATTATGAAAAACTGATTATTTTTATTTGGCAGTTGGAAGTCATGATTATTGGTTTAACATTTGGAAACTAACTACTTCATTTTAAAATGAACAGATTAAGATTTCTTTGAAGGCTTAATGCACAAAACTTGTGTGTGTCTGTGAGAAAGTATTTGAGGTTTTCAGGGCAAATGTGGTGGAAAGTGAGGATCTCTGTTTTAGGTGTAGAAATGATCATGCTTGTGTTTGTTTCACTCTACGCAGGTCTGTGATAAACAGACTGCTTCCAACATTTGACTTTTGAGAGTTAAAACATTTCTCCCTCCCCACTGCGTAACCACAGTGACATGTTCTATAGGGGCAGGATATGGTTGAAAGAGGAGAGAGGCTCTTGTAACGGTATAAGAGTAGGTACATTTCTCTATGATTCTTAAATCTACTCACTCAACAATTTCCAACTGAAGGATTTATTCTGAAGATGCATCTCAGATTGATGTTAACAGTTCTTCTCTGTTTCACTTCGTGGGTGAACTTTGTCCAAACATGTAAGTCATGAAAAAAGATTGATTGAGTGGAATATGTTGTGGTAGAAATACCATTACTTGACTGAACATAGCTCTGTTGTTTTTTTTGTTGTTTGTTGTTGTTTAGCTGCTGCATGTGCAAATAACTGCTGCTGTATTAGTTGGTCCATGACTCAAGTTAGATGGACTCAAATTAAGAACTATGCCATTCAGAGGGAAAACCGATGTCTCATCAATGCAATTGTGTAAGTATTCTCAAAATTTCACTGTACCTTCCACTTTCAGCTATGTCCCAACTTTTGATTGCCCTCACTTATAAATATAATGAATTATGGGTGTTTTTTTTGTTTTGTTTTTTGCATTTTGAATGCTCTAAAAAGTACCTTTAAGTAATTTAACTCATGCTAGCTTGTACAGTTCAAAATGCCAGCCTATGAAGAATGATCCTCTTTCAGCCTCTCAGGTTGTTTAAAGCCACCTGTGTTATTGTGTCTAAATAATTACACAAATAATGTTGCTACTCAACAAAATGATTTTTGTCAGAGAGAATTACATTACTAACTGTAGTATCATAAAAGGTTAAATATTAATAACAATGGCATTAATATGCTATGTGATACATCTAGGATATATTTATCACATGTTGAACTGTTGTATTTTGTCTCTTTGTATTTGATTGTCTTTTGGGTCATTTTAAATGTTTAATGTGGCTGTGTCTGATTTTTTTTTTTCCTGGTTGAATATAGAGACTACTACCACTAATATTCACAAACTATTGCAGGTTTGAGACAAAGCATGGACAGATAATTTGCAGCAATCCCAACAACAAATGGGCAAAGCAGGTTATTCGGAAAATGGAAACAGAAGCGATATCATCAGGAAGCAGTGACCAGGGGGAATAAGACATTGGCATCAACAACAAGGAAGAAATGTATGGAAATAAATCTGTATCACTGGGATTCAAATTAAAAATGCCATTGAAATATAAATGTTGGGTTTTTTTTCTTACTCATTCAGTGTTAAAATATATTCAGAAAACATTTTCAACCTAAAAAAAAAATTATTGTCACTATATTTATATAGTTGAAATTTTATTTTCATTTCAAGCTAAAAAAATCACATTACTATTTCAAATTTAATACACTTTCAATATCCGTTTTTCAGTTTGACTTTTCAGTGTTAAAAAATCAGCATATAAAAAAATTCAACCTAACTAAATATTTTTAGCTACTGAAAAGTTGTGAAGTGACCAGAGGTTCTAAGAATTCAGGAAACATAAAATACCTTGAAGAAGCTAGTGCTGATGAGGTATGCAAGGGTGTGTATGTAAAAAATCTTGAAAGAAGAGGTGAAGATTATATGAAAATTCAAAAAGGAAGATGAAAATATTGCTCTGAGCTGAATCAAACTCTGAGAGATGGAAACTTGCTAATCGTTTACAAATCAGAAGAAAAAAAGTAAAGCAATGATTGTTGAAAGTATCAAAAAAATGAGTAGAAAGTTTAAGAGAGTTGGGAAAAAGAAAGTATTGCAAGGAGTTTTTATGGAATTCCGGTTGTTAAAGAAAAATTAAAGCACAACATCCATTATGTTAAGGTTAAGGATATAAAGAGATTGCAGAAAAAGGTAAACATTGAAAGAATTGACAGCTTATCTCTGCTTCTGGAATTTTCTACTCCGGAAGTTCCAAATAGAGTCAAAGTAGGTTTTCTGTGTTATCCAGTCAAGCCCTACATTCCACCTTTACTTCAGTGCTTCAAGTGTCAGAGTTATAGTCACATTGCTGCAGTTTGCAGGTGCAAACAGAAATTTTTAAAATGTGGAGGGGAGAACAGAACACAAGATTGTGGTGAAAATGTCCAGGATAAATACTGTAATTGTGGTGGACAATACAGGGCAACATATGGAGGATGTGAATTAAGGAAATAAGCACTTGAGGTTCAAAAAGTGAAAACAACAAACAGTTATGCTGAAGCATTAAAGAAGGTGCAGGAGAAGCAAAATAAAATGGTAAAAACTAAACCACTTACAGTATAATGAAATAAGAAAACTAAGGGATATTAGGCATAATAATGTTTCTTTTTATATATATATGGCTGGTTAAGTAGCTTTCAGAGTGTCTTAATGACCATGTTGAGATTAATTTCTTCAGTAATAAGGGGATGGCATATACAATAGAGCGGAAATATATATGAATAAAGCTTGGTAGTGTTTAAATGTGATTGAGGTATAGTGTGAATGAATCTGCTATACATAGAATGTAATGAAAATGCAAATAAATAATTTTTTAAAATATTGTGTTCTATTTGTACATCAACATAACATCTTACATAACATCAAACATCTGCTTTTGTACCTATTTAGTATAACAAAGCCAAAGAGGTTGCAACACAGTACCTTTAGTTATAAGAATAGTTTTAATGGAGGTTATTTAAAAGTAAACCTAAAAGGTAAAAAAAAAAAAACACTAAATAAACAATTGTTAAATGACTAGCTTCAAATGACTTCATTACTAAGCTTTAGTCCATGGTGGTGTGCAGGTGACAGTAAAAAAGAAATCCAAAGGTTTTCTCAAGATTCAAAATACACCAGAAATTAGTATTACAACTATTTTTAACATGATATAAAGCTATGTGCCTGATTTAAATTTTGGTCGTCTACAACACCTCTCTTTTATATGCTTGTTAGATCATTTAAGAAAACCTTGGTGAAAAAATCGCATTTGTTTTTTTTGCTCAGAGGCCATCAGTATCACATATTGCCTTGACCATATTTGCCTTTCGAAATATATTTCTCAAATATCATCACTATTAAAGACGGTTCTGGACTAATTTCAAAACTCACTTAGAAACAGAGACATGCACAGATAGAAACTACTGTAGGTGGTGCTATAGAACCTGCCCTTTTCCCCTCTGGACAAAAAAAGTGGTCTCCTGAAATCGATTTTTTATTTTTTTTTTTGTCTTTTTAGTAATAAGCGCTACTATGGAGCAGAGCCAGACCGAACTTCCCCGACCTCAAACTTTGTGGGTGGGACTAAGTTCGGAATGGCACCCATGCTAGGGCAATAGAGCCTTGCCCTGGTGAAGGGCCAGCTAACTGTCCAGATAACTAAACAAGCGTAATTACCTCCTTCACCAACAAGCTAGTTCATAGCATAATGTCTGGCCTCTACCAGGTGCCAAAGAATCATTTAAAATGCAGCTCTTTTATTAAATTAGAAAAAAAAATTAATTTAAAGCATCTCATAGATGTAATTATTGATTTGCTATATTGGTCCCTGACAGTGGTGGGCAGTTAGGCCCTTCAAATCCTTCTCTGCTGCCCTAAAATCCATCAGAAACACTAACCTACATTCACAACCTAAACTTTAATTTTCTTCTAACTGTATTAATTATTATTCGAGATAACCTTGTTCTCTTAATTTTGTAGCATTTCTCTTGGTTGCGCTGCTTCTTTTACATTTATGTGGTTGCTATATTTTTTGTCCAATCAGATTTGAGCCTTTGTGCGTTGCTATGTCAATAAAATCTGCCCTGTACCTTCAAAATCAGCAGTGCTAGCCGATGTTATCAGATTTATGCTCTATATGATCTGCTAATTAGATGCATATTAAATCTGAATAGCTCCTGATAATGTAAATATTTCTGATCTGTAGTTATAAAATAGAGGATTGCTGTTGCCTTTACTGGGCTTCTTCTAATTGATCTCTGTATTCAGCCTCAAGCTAATCTTGCTGCGCTTGTTACATTTCATATTTTAATATTATTGGTGGTTTATTTTATTGAAACGTGGAAGTTGGTGATATTAACCCCTTCACACACATTTTTACATATATGCAACAAAGCCCTTGCATTACCAAGATAGCATGTGAATTCCCTCTGTCCCAGTTATGTTGAAATCCGATCATCACACATTTAAAGACAAATGTAAACTAGAAGCAAATGTGTGGTACAGCATAGTCTGTTCCTTGCACCTGATAACTCAGAGAACTAAGTTCAGGTAAAGAGATAATTTGTTGTGAGAGACAATGAACTCATGTTTACTTTTGATAAAATCTTCAAATGGATATAATTATAAACAATAATAAAAAAAACTGGTGCATTTTACTTTCATAGTTTCCTTCACAAATCAGATGGTTTCCACCTATGAGATCTTTTTGTGCTTTTGTGTCTTTGCATGATGTCTTTGAATAGTAACATAGACAATGTTTTCACAAAAGCTGTAAATACAGCAAGTTAAAAATTATGGATAAACCACATTTACCTTTCCTGAATATTTAACTTTTGTTAAATGAAGAAAGAGAACTTGTTAAAATATGGCAATTCCTTGGGCTAGCACACTAAAGAACAGTTGACTAAGCCACTGCTGGATTTGATTTAAAAAAATAAAAAAAGACTGTCTTTAAACCTGTGCTTTGCAGTTTTGTTTCTGTTAAGTTAAAGTTAAAGAGTAATCCATACATAAGAACTAAAGATATATTTTAAGTCAAAATTCTATGAGTAGTGCATTAAACTGAACCAATTCCAGTTTTCAGATTTCAGATGATAAAAATTGATAAAACAGAATATTATGAAAACTCTGATCAATTTTAATGACGGTTGGAAGTGATAATTGCTGCTTTAACGATATTGAAATGTAATAAATTTTAAAATGATCAGAGTCAATAATTTTTTCCAAAGTTTAATGCACAAAGCATTTAAGGTGTCTGTGAGAAAGTATTTGAGGTTTTGAGGGCAAATGTGGTGGAAAGTGATGATCTCTGTTTTAGGTGTAGAAATGATCATGCTTGTGTTTGTTTCACTCTAAGCGGGTCTGTGATAAACAGAATGCTTGCCACATTTGACTTTTGAGAGGTAAAACACTCACTATTTCCTCTCCCCACTGCGTAACCACAGTGACATGTTCTATGGGGGCAGGATATGGTTGAAGGAGGAGAGAGCCACTTGTAATGGTATAAGAGTAGGTACATGTCTCTATGATTCTTAAATCTACTCACTCAACAATTGCCAACTGAAGGATTTATTCTGAAGATGTATCTCAGATTGATGTTAACAGTTCTTCTCTGTTTCACTTCGTGGGTGAACTTTGTCCAAACATGTAAGTAATGAAAAAAGATTGATTGAGTGGAATATGTTTAGTAGAAATACCATTACTTGACTGAACATACCTCTGTTTTTTGTTTGTTTTTTTTTGTTGTTTAGCTGCTGCATGTGCAAATAACTGCTGCTGTGTTAGTTGGTCCAAGACTCAAGTTAAATGGACTCAAATTAAGAACTACGCTTATCAGAGGGCAGGCCGGTGTTCCATCAATGCAATTGTGTAAGTATTCTCAAAAATTCCCTGTACCTTCCACTTTCTGCTATGTCCCAAATTTTTATTGCCCTCACTTATAAATATAATGAATTATCGGTGTTTTTTTTGTTGCATCTTGAATGCTCTAAAAAGTACCTTTAAGTAATTTAACTCATGCTAGCTTGTACAGCTCAGAATGCCAGCCTATGGAGAATGGTCCTCTTTCCAGCCTCTCTGGTTGTTTAAAGCCACCTGTGTTATTGTGTCTACATAATTACACAAATTATGTTGGTACTCAACAAAATGATTTTTGTCATAGAGGATTAGATCACTATTTATAGTGTCATATAAGGTTAAATATTAATAACAATGTCATTAATATGCTATGTGATAAATCTAGGATATATTTATCACATGTTGAACTGTTGTATTTTGTGTCTTTGTCTTTTGGGACATTGAATATTTTATGTGGCTGTTTTGGCCAGGTCACTTTTGAAAATAAGGTTTTCATCTGCATTATTTTTTTTTTCCTGTTTGAACATAGAGACTAATACCACTAATATTCACAAACTATTGCAGGTTTGAGACAAACCATGAACAGATAATTTGCAGCAATCCCAACAACAAATGGGCAAAGCATGTCATTGGGAAAATGAAGACGAAGAAGCAATATCATCAGGAAGCAGTGACCATGGGGAACAAACCATTGGCATCAACAACAGCAGGGAAGAAATGTTCCAACACAAACACAACAAATAAAATATGAAGCAAGGCCAGAAAAGTTATCCAAGAGCAAAAAGAATGTTATTAAAGTCACAATTATAAGCCAAACATGTTGGTATTACATTCAGAAATCCAGTATAAGAATGTATTCCTTTTTTTTTTCTTTTTTTTTTTACCATTTTCAAATTACCTTGCCAGAATAATTAGATGATTGGTTGTGACACTTCCAATCCAGAGACTCATACAAGCAAATGTTTGATGTTCAAAAACACTAAAAACTAAACCACTTAAAATCAAATAATAAAACAAAAAAAATGTATGACCTAATAAAGCTTCTTATTTAGATATCTGACTGGTTAAGTGACTTCCAGAGTGTCCTAGTGACCAACAGTGTTGAAAAATATATGAATAAAGCTTGGTTGTGTTTAAAGGTTATTGATGTATTGTCTGAATGAATCTGTTTATAAAATGTATTAAAGAACTATATTAATGTAAAACACAAATAAATTATTTTTTAAATATTGTGGGGGTTTTTTGTGCATCAACGTAACATCTTATTTGCAGTAACATCTTTTTTGTACCTATATTGTACCATAGTCATCCAAAAAAAGTTAGAAATCAATTCAAAATGTTTGGATTAGCATTGAGTTCCAGGCTTTATAGAGCCCAACAAGACGCTTGTTATGGCTTAGAAAACATGCAAGTTGAACCTAAAAC